CCAACTATGCATGTGAAGGCCTCTATGAATACAGTTGATTGCTTCCAGTCGACTTCTTTGATGTTGAGCTGCTGGAAAACCTTCTTTCTCTGGTCTTTAGCTCGTGTTTTAGGTTAAGTATGGCCGAAATCCCCCAAGAAAGAGGCTAAAAATCCATTAAACTTTAATGAATTTTTTATAATTACTAAAGTGTACCAGCACTAGTTAAAATAATTTTTTCGTTTAATTACCAGCAAATCTAGGATATTATTAATTATATTTAAATGACAATATAAACTTATTCTCATGACTAAGCACCTCTAGGTTAGTGATGGGAATGGGACGGGGCGGGTACATTAATTCACATGCCCCGTCCTACGCTCACTACAACAAAAAACTGTTTTAGCGACGGTTACACAGGCTTTTGGTGACGGTTATCACCGTCGCTAAAATATTTAATGACGGGCAGTCAACCGTCACTGACCCCGCTGTCCTTAGTGACGCTTTTGGTCGACCGTCGCATTACCCGTCAGCAAAATTTACCGACGACAGTAACCGTCACAATCTTCTAGGAAACTATCGTTAAATATATATATCATAAACTAGCTAAATTATTTGGCTAAAAGTTATGGACCGTCGCAAAACACTGTGTGTAATAGAACGACCTGCTCTAGTAATTACACCCAGCTGTGATTTTCTGATACAACAAATCTACATTATACAGGCACTTTGATGATAAAAAAAACCAACTACTTTGAATTACCATATCATAAATATAAACCATCAATCCTTCAATTATGAGTCAAACCACTTACAAAAGTTCAAACCTACAATCTAAAGTTCAAATCGTGTCAGAACCCTTTGAAACAACAAAGATCCAGTCACAACCCTTTGAAGCAACAAAGATCACCTTTCTTCATTAAATTTCAGCCCTGCAGATTAACAAATCGGCAATATAAACAATTTAAACTAAGTTCTCATGGCAGAATGCATGAAATATGCAGGCAATGGAATTAAAAGCCTTTAGATGGAAGCAATAGAATTTAAAAGCACAGAAAATACATTCTGTAAATTGCATCTAGTAGTACCTTTTAAGGATTGCTACCTCTGCTGTCTCAGACCGCCAGTCGAAGAGTGGGCAGAATGCTGAGCTATTCAGCAGTTAAGTGGAAGTTAGTAGCAGATCTTTACATCACAAAAGAATGCACAGACACGTTTAGGCTGCCATTGCCCTATACTTATTGATCAAATAGCAATGTAATCAAACAAATCGTAAGCTAGAATCCACGATAAGTTGTTAATCTGATGTCAAACTATACTTAACATGAGATTGCTCCCAAGTTTACCATGAGAAGTTGTGAATCTGCCATTGCCGCAAAACATTTCCAGCTGCACTGATTCATTGCTTTACTCTGTAAACTGGCAATCAAAGGGAAGATATGCATTCTCCTAACTCCAAAACACAAAACAAAGTGAGGCCTTAGTTGGGAGAAAAACATATCAGGTTAAGGGCCATCACCATCGAACATAATAAAGAAAATTGCTTATGTGCCTACCTCTGAATTAGTGGTTCCATTTCATCTTTGTTGTTAGACTACCTTAATGATACAAGATGCCTTCCCTTGAAGATCTCGATAGACCCTCTTCAATGTTGTTGCATTGAAGTTGTTGCTCCTGTAACTGACAGACCAAACCCAACATTAGAGGAAAAGAAAGGGATTCAGAAAGCTTAGAAGGCTCAAGATTTTCTGGAAACAACCAAGATTCTCTATACATTCACAACTCAGTTTAGAAAAGTACCTTGAGTAGTATATCAGTGTCTCGTGGCATACCATTAGAACTAACTTGCATTGATGATCCAACGCCTTCTATGTGCATCCAGAGTTTCTGCATAAGAAAAAAAAATTCTACAACAACCTAACAAAATATGCCGAAATACAATGATAATCCCCAGAAAATCAACTTGAAGAAACACATCCTTCTAGTGAACTTACAGAGCATCATCCTGTTCCTCTACCACTATAACTGATTGTATACACTTACAATTCACTTATAGCACAAAACATGTACTTTGCTGAGAAATTGACGTAATCAACGCATTGACGGAAGATACAGGTTGTTATTCACTTACTCCTTCAGAGCATACAAGTGTACTTTCTAGGCGGGATCTCACTAACCCGAAATCTATGAAACTGAAAACATACCAACAATAGTAATAGATCAAATCATATCCTAACGCTGATTGATGAGAGGCTCGGTAATGAGAGGGTCAGTAAAGTTGGTTTCCTTCTGAATGGAATCACCAGAGCATAAAAGCCACATAAGAACAATGTCTAGGATCTAGATGTGTCAAAGATAGGTGAGATAGTATAGATGTTCGTTCAACATAATTGCTGCACAAAAAGAAGGATAAGTAAGAGCTAGAGGAAGGAATTAAGGTAAAGAAACAATAGAAGACCTTACGAGAATAGGAGTCATACGGAAAAGTTAAGTTGAGGTTATACTCATTTTGTTAGCAAGTACATAGCCCAATAAGTTCTGAAAAAACACAAACATATAAGAAAATAGTTAAAAAGCGTATGTAGAGCTCCTAATGGATGCAAAGGTGAGAATGGCTACCTGAGACTTATTCTTCTTTTCCAATTCTTACTTCATGGCCTCACTGTTGTACTACCTTCACATACGGTGCCTGTAAGAGGTTAAGAATGATTGGTCTCCAAAATTCAATCACATAGCTTGCAATGATAAAAGTTGTATTTTGAGGGCGGAAGTCATTAACATATTAAACGAACTTTTACCCTTTACAGGTCAAACATGGCTGAAACTAAAGTCATGGAGCAGAACTGCAGTAAATACCAAAGTGACAAATGTAATGTCAAGATATGAAACTATAAAGCCTTCGAAATTGAGCCAAGCTGCTTCAACCATAATTGCAATGAAAAGTCATGAAGCAGAACACAAAGTAATGAAATCGGGCATATAGATTGTCAACTTAGAAAGAAAACATGGTACATGTAGGATAATCACTAAGAAAGAAAAGTGTTTGACAGTTCTGGATGTGTAAAAAAGGTAACCACAACTTTGAACACAGGACAAGGTAGTGATAATGTGAATAACTCTTTCTAAGTTAGTGGATCATTATAACTCTAAGTTAGGACTTCAAGCCCTGCAAGCCTATCTTCTCTGCACTTCAGTCTACATAACACCATTGCAAAAAATTGAGCCCCTTTGTATTCTCAACACCAGGAATCGAGCCTTCAGCTTCGCCAACTGCGATGAGAGACGGAAGCGAAACCTCCAGCGAATTACCCAACAAAATCTTCATCAAATCAATTGCCATTCGAATCACGGGCTCAATTGAAACCAGATCCACCTCGCCGCTCCCTACCTCCAGAATCTCAAACTCCAAATCTGAGCTTCAATGGCAAAATCGTGACCTAATTTCAGCGAAGCACTTTGGCTTGTTCGTCGACAACGCTTGTGCTGCCCTCTACGAAGGGCTGCTCGACCGTAGATCTCGTTCCGCCTCCATCTTTCTTTCCTCACTTTTCTCAATTTACGGAAGGTTGTATATGGAAGGTATTTCGTCGACTGAAATTGATTTAACTTGGTGAGGTTGTATAATAATAATAACTAGCTTTCCTTGCCCGCGCTCCGCGGCGGGATTTAGAACACATTGGTAAAACTGAAAGGTATTGTATGTACACTTATGATTGATATAATGAAAGCTTGGTTTACATCTGTAGTCAATTTTAAGTCACAGAATTTCCAAATTTAACATCAGGTTTTGTGCTGCAAAATTTCGATGAATAGCTGCACTTGGTTCCATTAAACAGGTCACGATTCAATGCAGGGTAAAATCAAACTTGTCAAAGCCGTTTAAGGAGATATTAAAAAGCTGGAAATATCTATATATTACCGAAGTAAACTTGGTACGGGCAGAGCACAAACGATCTGAGCACAATTAGAGATGAAAATGCCTTGTCAATTGTTTGCAGATGGTTTGTTTGATGGTTGGTCTTTCTGTTGTAAACTTGTAATACATGTCCCCAACAATCAACAACTGGTAGCTCTTTCTAGTTTCTCACATTCATAACACGGAGGATATGAAACTCTAATACTAACACACATTCAATGGAACTCTTGCAAAAGCAAGAAAACGATTGCCACAAAAAATAAGAAAAAAAAAATAGAACTGCTAATAATCAACGCCACATTATTTGGGAGTCTATCAACATTACACTGGAATAACTCATTAAAAATGATCTCCATGAATAGAAAAGATGAACACATGAGATGAAAGACCCAAATGAAAATCTGACCAAACTGCAAGGAATTAAAACCATAAGAGATTCAAAATCAGCAAACGGATTGAAGACAGTCTAATAACATCTGAATTAACAGATTTACTTCATTAAGCTTGACACGAAGAGACCAATAAAGGACTAGAAAATCAAATGACATGGAACAAAATAAGTTACTTTGGGAAGAAAATGCCACCACCTTCGAACTGGGGCATATCATGCACCAATTTCCCACCTTCCTTTTTCTTTCTGCTGCCTCTTGTTTTATCTTGAAATTCCCGGACTATTGCAGAATACCACTCCTTGAAAATGTGGTTGACTTTCACATACAAAAAAAAAAAGGATAAAGAGACTGAAAAATGAACGACACCAAAGATAACGGTAAAAATGAAAAACAGACAACATGTAGCAACAACCGCACTTAACCAACTCACACCACAACAGTAAGTTTCCCTAACTGCAGGTCCAACATCAAACTCCATAACCTGCTGCTTCACTCTCTAATAGTGAACTCCAAAACCCAAAAACGCCATCAGTAGCTGCAAATTAAATTTGGATAAGAAAAGTGAAAACTGAGATGGATAACAGGGGGCTTGAGAGGGTAAGAAAAGAGATGGAATGGAGCCATCGAGGAGAGATAATAAACCTTGCAGAGTACTTTGGTCACCGCCACTGGCAGAGATTAAGATAATCTTGCGGACCATCGATAAGTCACTACGGCATTAAATCTGTAAGAGGAAGGGGAAAGAGAAGGGAGCCAATATTTACATTTCCTAAAAACAAAAGAGCCATACAACGATATCGGAATTACACTGAAACCGGCAGATCTGGCTCACCAATATATTGCAAAGTGAAGGGACCGGTAGTATTCCAAGCCACATCGCTCAGGGTTCTGATCGTGGCTTGTTGTGCGATAGATAGCCTTTGAAGATCCAGGTGGAAAATAAGTTGTCGAAGAGCGAGAGAAGGAATCATAGAACTCTGACCCACTTAACCAAAAAAAGAAAAATCTCTGTTACTGAGTATCGGAAACGAATGAAATCCAAACGAAGAAAAATCTCGTCAAATCTCATGAATCTCCCTCAAAAAATCGATCGTCTAAGCATACCAACTGTCAAGAGCTTTCTCAGGTGAGAAACCGTGTGAGTGAAGATGAACATGGGAAGACAATCGGAGACCAGTGTTAAAAGAATATGCGACTAAAGATTGCAGAAGATAGAGACGATGCAAACCATAAAAATTCTCACCCTTAAAAATCACGGCTATCAATCTGGTTCCCGGCGATCGATCTCGTCGCCCCGGCGTGCATCCTCATCCTTAACAATCAGGGCTATCAATCTGGTTCCCGCCGATCGATCTCGTCGCCCCGGCGTGCATCCTCTCCAACGTGGATCTACAATCCAAACCATGGATCATTAGATCGCTGGCCTATGGCTCTGGCCCAGACAACATACCTTGTAGATTTGGGCCTCCTTCGATTCCTCTCCCGGCCTCTCAAACTCTCCTCCTCCAGTTGATCGCTATAAGTTACTGATTTTTGGAAGGGCGATGTGAGAAACACAGCAGCGAGAAGTATGAGAAGGAGAGTGGTGAGAGGAAAATATTGGGAAACTAAATGCACTCCTTCTTCTCCAATTTTGGGTGAATACACTCCTGCTTTGACCCTCTTTGAGTCTCTTTGCTCATAAATAGAAAAAATTGAAATCTAAGAGAAATAGGAAGCAGATGGGGTAGGTGAAAGGAATGGCCAAAATGAAAGCTACGTGGCTCTTCTACCAAACAAACAATTTCCTTTCTCTCAGCCTCCTCCATCAGTCTACTCTCATCAGTCCCCTCAATTACCTCATCAAGACATGGCTCTCTTCTCCATCGGCCTCTGCAATCGGCACAACTCCCACCCCAAAGACCCTCACCTAGCCTCCGAGCCATATGCAGAGATACTGAGCAGCACAACTCCTTTCAATCAACTTTCCAGTCCCTCTCATTGCCCACCATCTCTGAGATATCCCATCTCCCAGCACAGTCTCTCCCAAACCCGCCAGATCTCCCACAACTCAACGATCCCTACCCAGCAGAACACCCACAGAGTAACAGAAAAACCCTCGATCCACGTGCCCGCCCGGGCCAAAGTTACATACCGATCTCTGATGACCAACCAGAAGCTAACGACCAGTCCCACCCCAACCGAGCCCGGCGAGTGATGGTGAGATAGAGTAGGCGACCAACCAGCCGCCGAAACTGGGAAGGATCAGGCAAGAGATCGTCATTACTCGGCCGTGTGAGCTGGTGGTTCTGCTCAACTGGGAAAGCACTAGGGCGAGAATCCTGAACACCAGCATCTTCCAGTATGTCTAAAGCATACTTGCATTGACTGAGCACAACGCCGGTAGAGACACGGGCAACCTCAATGCCCAGGAAATAACGTAGGACTCCGAGGTCCTTGATACTAAAACGATCATCCACAAATCGCTTGACGCGAGAGATGAAAGGGAGATCATTCCCGGGCAGGAGCACATCATCGACGTAAATGAGGGCAGTCATAAAAGTAGTCCCTCGCTGGTAGATGAACAAAGCAGCATCTACAGGAGAGGATCGAAAACCAAACTCGATCAAGACTGCAGTAAACTTGTAACTAACTTCGCGATGGGGGCGAAGGTGTCATGGAAGTCCAAACCCTCAATCTGTGTATATCCCTTGGCGACCAGCCGTGCCTTGAACCGCTCTATGCTGCCATCTTGATAGTATTTGATGTTGTATATCCACTTGGCGGCGATGGCACGCTTGCAGGGAGGCAGGTGAACAAGGTCCCACGTACCATTGGCCTCAAGGGCGAGAATTTCTTTGGCCATTGCATCGCGCCACCTCGGGTCCTTGATGGCCTGAAGAAACGTCTGAGGTTCGTCATCCCGAGTGATTGCTACAAGAAAAGCACAAAACGTGGGGGTAAAACCATCATACGACACATGATTGGATAAAGGGTAATTGAAAAAATTATGGGTACTTCCCTTGTCACCAGGGAGGTTGGTGTGATATATATTGAGATGTTTAGGTCTCATCCGAACTCGGTCACCGCGCCGCAGCGGGGGTGGTTCTGTAGAAATAACGCCGGGTGTAACTTTGTCTCGGTTGGTCACCCGGATGTCTTGATACTGCTCATGCATGCAGTGGCGGACCTAGAAGAGAATATTAATTAGCTAACTAGGTAATTAAGCATGGTTCGTCTCTTTGATTTCAAGTCAGACAAGCACTTCGTTGCTTCCTCTGACAAAACTACCCTCAAAGTCTACGAGTTGAGCAACCCTACCATTTACCCTTCTTACATCCTAAAAGGCTCACTGGAAAGAAGTTGGCAACATCATTCCCTGTGATCACGATGACAGTGATGAAGGAACGAATGAGTCATTATCCTACGACGACCTGATGTTCTTCGACGGTCAGGCAGAGATCGAAGGAAGGGAGGCCCTGACCAAGCTGGCCCAGCACCTCGCTCGGCTGCGACTGATGGTGAGCCCACAAGGGCACTGTTTCCAGGATGTCACCGAATTGTGGGAACACAAAGACTTTGGAATTCACTATCTCCAACTGAACGATCTTTTCAACTGGCCCTTTCATGGGGTCAGCATAGCGGGCCTCACCACGTGGCCATGCTGCTTATTGAAATACACCATGCCGAGTCGGGCGAAGCAGCTTGCCACGACGGTGACCACAAGAGGGGTGAGCAAGGAGAAGTACGAGGAGATGAAGAGAACGGTGAAAAAGAAGGAGGAGGACCTGGAGAAGCTGAGGGAAGAGATGGAGGAACAAGACGATGAGCTTCAGAAGCTGAAGGAGGAGATGGAGGGGGCGAGTGAAAAGCACGAGGCGGAGCTACGAGATCTGGAGACGAAGAAGGACGAGGAGCTGCGAAGGCTGGCGAAGATAAAGAAAGACGAACTCGAGACGCTGAGGAAAGAGAAGGCCGAACGCCACGAGCTGGAGCAGCAACGTCGCAAGCAATCGTGGGCGATAACAGCCACGACACGATACTTTTTGAACGACACGGTTCTCAAGAGCAGAAGGCAGCCGGTGCCATTGGCGCCTCCACGTGGTTCCCGACGACAATAGTGCAACTGGTGGATGAGGAGCCTAGAGATTGGAAGCCTCCGCCAAAGATTTATCTCTCGTGTTTGGGGTTCGGGGCGTTCGACAAGCAGAACTGGTGGTTCGTGAAGACGACGCATCCGGACGGCGGCGTGACGATGGTAACTTATTATGACGGCAACCAGACTTGGTTCGATGGGCTCGGCTACCCTATCCCGCTTCCTGTTGCTAGGACACATCGTTTTGATACCAACACGCCGTTCTTCTTTGTTTATGTGGTTGACAGATACAAGCTTGCTTTCATGTACCGAGACTAGTTTAGCGAGGGTGATCCTCGTTGGAGACTTAGGATAGGGTGAGTAACCCTTTGTTACTCACCCGTGAGTAACCACCTTAGGACCGTAGATCTGGGCCGGGCTGATCGTGTGGTTTTGGTTGATGCGGTGATGTCAGGGGCATTTTTGTCCAATTTTTTGAATTAATGACTTCCCCCTTTTGTCTGTTGCGAATCTTTCTGTGCGCGAGTTGGATTCGGTTTTTGGAGAGAGAAACTACGAGTAGGGGAGCAGCAACTGAGAAACAAGGACGGCGATTCTCCATGATTGATCGACAGCGATAGAAACTGCGAGCAGCCGCTTCGAATCGAGCTTTCTGATTCTCCATAATTGATCGACGTGTGCGCGAGTTGGATTCGGTTTTTGTAGAGAGAAACTGCGAGCAGCCGCTGAGAAACAGGGGACGGCGAATCTTTTCTGATTCTCCATAATTGATCGACGACGAGGTTAGATATTAGTTTTTTTGATTCTTCCTGTTTAGCTAATCAAGTTTTCTGTTGATCTCTGGTTTCGTTGGAGGTTTTTCATTGCTGCTAGTCGAGCTTGTTCATGTTTAGCTAATCGAGCTTGTTCATGTGTTATATGTTCTTTGTGTTTTGGTGTTTTTGCAGTATTCTGGTGAGATGAGTTACGTAAATTGTGGCGATGTTGTTCCAATTGATAGATCTGGTTCTTCAACCAGCGTTGTAGGATCTGGTTCTTCATCTAGTGCTGTTCGAACGGCTTCTTCATCTATCGATCTTGGATTTGATCATTCAGCTAAATCTGGTGAATCAGGAGGTAAGATATACAAATTTGTTTGTTTATTGAAGTTTGAATGTGTTAGATACCATATGGTACCATGGTGGTAATTACTGGTATACGATGAGAGGTGATACTATAGTGTTGTGTTGTGATATTATTGTGCTCTGTATTTAAGTTTTACCATACCATACCATGGTGGTAATTACTTGTACCATGTTTGGAATCATTGGTATAATGTCGTAATTTGATTTTACCATGCCTTATCATGTGGTATAGTGTGGTAGTTTCAAGTTAAAGGTGGGGTTATGTGTGGTAATTGATTTTACAGTGCATTACCATGTGGTAAAATGTGGTAATTAGGAAGTTAAATGTGAGGATTCTGTGTGATAATTGATTTTACCATGCCATACCATATGGTATATATTGGACCTGACCGAGACACAGCCCACGTCCACACATGCGGCCCATTCAAGGCCTTTCTCTGCGGCCATTCATGTACCCTACGTGGACAAGGATTGTGAGAATATAACCCTAGTTGCTAGTTGTAGGGGTTATAAAAGCACTGTACACGGCTATGGCCGATTATCACTGAAAACCTAATAACAACAGTAGCTGGAGAGATTCCAAACTCTCCCGTGGATTAGTCCCGACTCGTCGGGGATACCACGTTAAACCGTTGTCTTCTTTGATTTTCCGCACGCGTTTTACTCAATTTCTCAGTATAGTGTGGTAAATTGATTTTACCATGCCATACCATGTGGTATAGTGTGGTAGTTTGATTTTACCATGCCATACCATGTGGTATAGTGTGGTAATTTGATTTTACCATGCCATACCATGTGGTATAGTGTGATAGGTTGGAAGTTCTGTGTGATAATTGAGTTTACATTTGCCATACCATATGGTATATTGTTGTAATTTATTTTTACCATGCCATACCATGTGGTAAAATATGATATTTTGGAAGTGGCATGTGTTGTCATGTGTGGTAATTGATTTTACAGTGCATTACCATGTGGTAAAATGTGGTAATTTGGAAGTTAAATGTTAGGGTTCTGTGTTATAATTTATTTTACCATGCCATACCATATGGTATAGTGTGGTAATTTGATTTTACCATGCCATACCATGTGGTATAGTGTGGTAGTTTGATTTTACCATGTCATACCATATGGTATAGTGTGGTAATTTGATTTTACCATGCCATACCATGTGGTATAGTGTGGTAGTTTGATTTTACCATGCCATACCATATGGTATAGTGTGGTAATTGATTTTACCATGCCATACCATATGGTATAGTGTGGTAATTTGATTTTACCATGCCATACCATATGGTATAGTGTGGTAGTTTGGAAGTTCTGTGTGGTTAACTGATTTTACATTGCCATACCATGTGGTAAAATGTGGTAATTTGGGAATTAAGAACACATGTTAAGTATTTGCTAACATAATAAAAAACAGAACATTTCACTTAGTCATAATACACACCATAATAAGTTGTTTCATACCATCCTACTAATAAAAATGAAGTGGCTACTGAACATTGTGAGTTTGTTCTCAAAAGCTTACTTATACCCTCCTACTACTTAACACAAACCATAATAGAATTTTCATCTCCTTTCTTTCAAAACTTCCTCTTGTTCTTCTTGTTGCAGTACTTTGTTGCTTCCTTCATGATCCTTTCCCGTTCAAGATTGTCTTCATCAAGAATGATGTCCAACATCAGGCACTCCCTTTCTTCATTTATGAGATCAATCCTCTTCCAGTCTTTGGTCAGGGCACTGTTGTACTTACCTTCCCAGTGTCTCATCCACCTGATGATGTACATCCCACATGACTTGTCATCTGGTTGTGTAACCTTTTCGAGGTTGAACCAGGTAAACCTCTCCCACTTTACTGTCTTGTCTGCAAACTGTGTGTTCATGTAGTTGATTGCGTACTTGACAACCCTCTCTGCCATTGGTTTGTAGTTTTCTTTAAAATCTTTGTGACGGAGACTGTCGAGTACTTCAAATCTCTCTGCTTTGATGTTGACACAAATCATGATGTAGTGCTTGTTATCACAGTAAGGGAAGAACCACTGCAAAATAATTTTACCACAGTATACCATATGGTAAGCACTTGCCATATAAGTGATGAATAGTAAGTTAAGAACCATTCCCAACTAATTTTACCACTATATACCATATGGTAACCACTGCAAACTAATTTTACCACTATATACCATATGGTAACCACTGCAAAAATTGTGGTGAGATACTTACAAGGTTACATTCTGTGAAGCTGAGGTTTTTTGCCCATTCTTTGTTGGTGATGTCCAAGTCCACTTTGTCGTAGTAATCGTCTGGAGTTAGTACAGGATTGCCACTATCAATGTCCAGTTGGCAGTCACCCTGAAAGTTGTGGTTGTTATTATGTGTTTTATATATGTGTTGTCTAAGAACTATTGACAGAATATGGGTGGGTTTACTTACTGCCAAAGATGAATCGAAGAACCACCTTTTGAATTTTCCTTTTTTTGCTTCATTCCTGTTCATTACATCTCCATACCAGTCGATGACATCAGATGTGATTTCACAGCGAATGTCAATCGACTGTACTGACTCCCTTTTCAGCAAGAATGTTCCATCCTTCCTTTTAAACCTTATCTCATCACTGTATAAAAGCACATCACAACAGGACAGATGGTTTACTTTAATTTATCACATCAAACAATAGGTTACCACAACAAAACCATAGCTTACCACATCTTACCATATGGTAATAAGTAAAACACAACAGCTTACCACATCTTACCATATGGTAATAAGTAAAATACAACAGGAGTTATGGTTTAATCCATTCTTGAACAACAAACCTTAGCTTACCACATCATACCATATGGTATTAAACTAAAACAAAACAGGACTTGTGCATTACTACATTTTGTAACATTAAACCATAGATTTATCTAATTTTACCATATCTTACCATATTTTACCATATGGTAACAAACTAGATCACTACAGTAACATCATATAACAGTAGAAGTTTTAAGATGATGACTTACCTCTTGACAAATTTCTTGTTTTTGCATCTTATGTACTCCAGGATGTTGCTCAACATATCATCAGGTGTTGTTTGTGTTGGTGTAGACCATTCAACTGGTGATCTTTGTGATTGTGGAGCAACTGGTTCAACAGTTGGAGAATTCAGGTCCTCTAGGTAAGCATCTATGCATTCACGCACTTCTTTGAGCTTCTCTTGGCTGTTTGTGTACAGATTTGACCATATAACATATGACTCCTTCTGTAACTGGGTGCTTTGTGGCTGTGCTGGTGGTGGTGTTCCTCTTTCCTTCTTTTCGTTTCCGTGCACATTCTTCACCATGATTCTTCTTTTGCGAGGCTCTCCTGGTTGATCGGTTGCCGTGTTGGTAGTCAACTTTGTTGGTGTTGTTGGTGTTTGATGGTTGAGAGGGCTGAGATCGAAGGATGGAATGTCGGCTTCCCTTGTCACTTTAGGCTTCTCAGCAGCTTTGGTTGTCAGTTTTGGAGCCTCTTCTCGAACAACATCATCTGACACCGTTTTCTCGCTGTCAGTTTCTGCAGTCTTTTGTGCAGCTTCCCCTGTTTTCCCTTCTTCTGTTGTTTCCTTATCAACTTCCATTGGATCTGCTGTTTTGGTAGCTCCTTTTTTTCTGTTTCTTTTGCAGATGTCTGTTCTGGAACTGCTTTCGGGGTGTCCTCTGGTTGTGGTGTTCCCTGATTCAGACCTTCTTGAACAGATTGTGCTGGTGGTTCTGTTGCAACTTTCCCCAGTGGATCTCCTTCTTGGATGCTTTCCCTATCCACAGCTCCTGGAGCTGAATCATCTTGCTCCTTTTGCCTTCGGTGTAGATGCAGCAAGATCAACTGTAGATGGTTGTGAATCATCTTCTTTCTGTGTTTGCTCCTCGTTCTC